ACTCTTTGTGGCTTTTGGCCACTGCCCATTTCAAGAGCCAGAAGGAAGCATCTTCGTGGCTGCTTCAGGCCACACAAGAGAATGGAGAAGCGGTGGTAGCCACGGTTCCTGGGCCTCTCTAGGGTCCTTAAACATGCCGTGACACACACAGATCAAAAGCTATGCTCGCTGGGCGATGGTGGCGCACGCCTTTAATCCCAGTACTCGGGAGGCAGAGGCAGGTGGATCTCTGTGAGTTCGAGACCAGCCTGGTCTACAGAGCTAGTTCCAGGACAGGCTCCAAAGCCACAGAGAAACCCTGTCTCGGGAAAAAAAAAAAAAAAAAAGCTATGCTCAAAGTTCAAAGTGCCCCTATGTTTCCCTTCAATAACTACCGGCTGGCCCCCAGGGCCTATCATAGACTTGTTCACTTTTTCCATAATCTCAATATAAATGGAACCAAGCAGAACTTATGTTGTCTGTGTGTGTACATGTGTGAGGATGCATGTTTGTGTCCATGTTTTTTGTTTTTTGTGTTTTTTACTTTAGATGGGGTTCTCATATACTGGAGCTTGCTGGATTGGTCTAGATCGGCTGGCCTGGCCAGTGAGCCCTGGGATGTCTGTCTCCATATCCCCACGCTGGGATTAGAAGAGAACACTACCATGCCCTTCTCTGATGCTGGTCCTCATGCCTCCTGAGCAGACACGGTGCCAACAGAGCCATCACTCCAGCCCATTCTGTCGCTGTCTGGCTAGTAGACTGGTTACAGGATGCAGTCTGGGCGGTCCAGGAATGGCTGTCAGTCCAAATGCGTTGTCTCACTGAATGTTGACTTCTGTTGGCTTTAGCTACACATTTTATATTCACCGAAGGACTTAAAAGTACGTTCCCCAATCTGTGGCTTCTTTTTATTTTTCTTGGCATACATTTTGTTTTACTTTTTTAAAAAAAGAAAACAAACTATCTTTTTTTCATTTTTCATACCAATCCCAGTTCCCACTCCCTCCCCTCCTCTCCACCTGCCCCCCACCCCCATCCAGTACTCAGATAGGGTAAGGCACATTGCTTTGGGGAAGCTCCATGACCCCCCCATTATATCTAGGCTGAGCAAGGTATCCATCCAAAGAGAATAGGTTCCCCAAAACCCAGTACAAGCAGTAGGGATAAATCCTGGTGCCACTGCCAGTGGCCCCGTAGTCCACCCCATCCATACAACTGTCACCCACATTCAGAGGGACTAGTTTGGTCCTATGCTAGTTCCTTCCCTGTCTGGCTGGAGTTGGTGAGCTCCCATTAACTCAGGTAAACTGTTTTAGTGTGTGCACCCATCATGGTCTTTGCTCTTATTCTCATTCCTCCCACTCTTCAACTGAACTTTGGGAGCTGGTAAAGAACATTAAGTTTCTAATTTTGATGAAGTTTGATTTAGCAGGATTTTCCCCCATGGACTACTTACTCCCTCAATGTTACGTCTCGAGAATCTTTGCCTAGCTCAAAAGCACGGATCTTCTGTCTTCCTTCACATGCTTTGGTCTTAGGTTATGATTATGATCCAGTCTGAGCTCCTCTGTGTGTTGCACAAAACTCATTTTTTTTTGCATCTACATAGCCAGCCACCACAGCATCATCTGTTGAAACGGCCACCATCACTCCTTTGTAGCTTTATTCAGAAGGAAACAGAAGTGACGCACAGTTTGTCCCCATCTGCCTCATGTGAGAGCCGGCCCGTCTACCCCCATCGCTATAGCTTTATAGGACTCCAGTTCAGGCACAAGGCCTCTAAGTTTATTTTCTTCAAGGTTGCTTTGGGTTTTTTTTTTAATCCATTCGATTTTAAAATCAGCTTTTAAATTTTAAATTTAAAATCTATCCACTCCCCTTCCTTTAAAACAATCAAATGTTCAAGGATTCTGACTGGTTTGCATGGAACTGAAAGCTCAATTTGAACGAAATACCTTTTTTAAGGATATAAAGATGTGATTGTGGTGTGAGCAATTGGTGTGGATATAAAGATGTGATTGTGGTGTGAGCAATTGGTGTGCACACAACCTGACAGTAACTTTTGGGGCCGGTTCTCTCCTCCCACCTCATTTTTGAGACTATGGTCATCCATTCCAGTTGTTTCTTCGTTTATTTTAGTATATTCTGCACATTACTCTCTAAGTACTATGTTAGCCACATCTCTTAACTTTTGATTTATTTTTATTGTAATTCAGTGTGAAATACTCTTCAGTGTCCCTCTTGATTTCTTCTTTGGCTCAAGAGTGACACAGAAACATGATATTTAGCTTCTGAATACGTGAAGATTTTCCAGATATTTTCTAGTCATCTCTAATTTATTTTATTATTTATTTGTTTGTTGTTTTGTTTTGCTCTTTTTTGAGACAGGATCTCACTATGTAGCTCTGGCTGTCCTGGAACTCACAAATAGACCAAACTGGCCAGAAACTTAGAGATCTACCTGCCTCTGCTTCTGGCTTCTAAGTACTGAATTAGAGGCGTGAGTCATCACACCTGGAAATTTACTGGTTTTTGAGGCAGGGTCTCACTGTGTAGCTCTGGTGGTCCTGGAACTCATAGAGATCTGTGCGAGCCTCTGCCTGAGCTGGTATTAAAGGTGTTTGCCACTACACCGGCCACTCATTTCTAATTTACTTGCAGTGTATCAAATAACATTATTTCTTCTTCCATTTTCATGTGTGTATGTGGGGGGGTATGTGTATGTATATAGGTGTGTACATGTGTGGACACACATATGTATGGGGTGCACATGTGTGCACATGTGTGGAGGCTTCGAGTTGACATCTGGAACCGTTCTCCATTGCTCTTCCACCTTACACGCTGAGACAGCATTTCTCTGTCAAAGTTAGAACTCACCAGTATAGCTAGTCTTGCAAGCCAGTTTGCTCTGGGGATCTCCTGTCTCCAGCTTCCAAGGTTAGAATTACGACGGGCCACTACAACAATCTGGTGTTTACATTTGTTCTCGTGATCTAAACTCGGGTTTTCAAGCTTGCAGAGCAAGCTCTTTTAATTCCTCAACAATTCATCTCCCTGGCACCAACAAGACATATTTTTGTGGCCTGCATCTTTTAAAGTTGCTGAGCCTTATTTTATAGCTTGGACTCTGGCCTGGCTTAGGAGGTATTCTGTGAGCTTTCAGGTAGTATATTCTGCAGTCATTATTAAACCCAGAACAAGAATCCACAGCAAGCCGGGCGGTGGTGGTGCACGCCTTTCATCCCAGCACTTGGGAGGCACAGACACGTGGATCTCTGTGAGTTCCAGACCAGCCAGGTCTGTTACACAGAGAAACCCTGCCTCGGGAAAAAGGGAAAAGAAATCCACAGCAAACACTGAAGACTTTGACATCCCTCCTGGGTTTTGGCTTTTAAGATAGGGTTGCACTATTAGGAACTCTCTATGGAGACCAGGCTGCCTTTGACTCCCAAGTGCTGGGATTAAAGAGATATGCGTTTAGCTCTGTGTATCTGTAATTGAAGGGTGTGGAAACCTTCCACTTAGCTGTGTTCTATTTCCTCTTACAGTTATATTGCTTTTGGCTTATGTCTGGCTTCCTGAAGCATTGTTTTAAATGCAAAAAAAAAAAGTTTCATTTGGTTTCCTGGCTGATGATTAAGCTCCAAGCGATCCACCTGCCTCCATTTCTCGATGATAGGCGACACACTTAACCACACCTGTTTATGTGGGCGCCAGAGATTTGAGCCTGGATTCTCTCGCTTTCCTAGGAAGTGCTCTTACCCCTGTGCCGTCTTCCCATCTCCCTAGCATTTTATATTTGGTTGGTTTTTGAGACAGGTGTTCTTTGTGCTTTCGACAGTCACTATAAACCCAGAGGAAGAACCCTGCAGCTCCAGGCTGCCTTACTCTGTGGTGGTTTGGTTCTGAGCTCCTGATCTTCCTGCCGCTACTTCCCAGGTACTGCGATTGCAGATGTGGGCTACAGTAGCCAGTGTGCTTATATTTACTGTAATATCTCCACTGTCTGTGTGACGTCAATCCTACCGTACCAGGAGTCAGCTGACTCATAGGATGAATGCCAGGGGCAGAAGGAGGCATAGAAGAGGAGAGGGCAGAGCAAGGACACTAGGGTTGGTATCTTGGACATTCTGCAACAGGTCAAGGGGACCCATCTGGAGAGAAAGCTCAATTTGCTCAATTCTCCTGGAGCAGTGGAGCCAGGGGCCAGGAAATAAAATCCAGGCTGATAAAAGGCTAGGCAGAATTTTATACACACCCATAGGATATATGTGTGTGTGTGTGTGTGTGAAAACACACACACACACATATATAGTGCATTAGTGTATATGAAGCTCACTCTGCCCACCTTGCTTCAAGGCAGGGTCTCTCCTGTGTCTGCAGCTGTGATGTGTATCACTATCAGCTTCGGGCTGATTCATGTCTCCACCTCTGATCTCCCTGTAGGAGTGCTGTGATTAGATGCACACCGGGGCATTGGGGTTTTTATGGGTGTGGGGGATGGAATTCAGCCTATCAGACTCACACGTGGCCTCTCCCCAGGTCCTACTGCTTCTTAAACCCTTGGTTTTTGCTTCTGCTTTTCCGACTTGTGCTTTCATGTGTGTGATCGTCCTGGGTTGAGGGATCGTACTAGAAAGCCTGGATTTTATCTGAGAAGCCTGTGAAGCCTGAGTTGGGAGCGAGACCTCCAGATCACGTGACACGGATTTACACCGAGTTCTGCACCAAAGCCAGTACAGGACCGTGGGGACTAACCTCTCCGAATGGGGTGTTCCAGACTGTCACAGGGTGGGCCAAGTGACAGGTCATCACCCGGATGAGATGGGCCACTATGCCTTCCGTACACGGCAGCCTAGCTACCACGTGGGTTTTCCTGGCTGTGAGGTCAGGCCTCAGCCTCATGTCTCTACCCTGACCAGGACACATTTGCTGGGTCCAGAGCCTGGGACCACAGCCTCCACCCTCGCACGGATACACAGATGGCCTAGGACCAAAGGACAAGGCGAGACCCAAAGGAAGGTTGGAATTGCTTTTATTGAGGGGCGGACACCGCAGGGCCCCGCCCATGGTCAGGTTAGTGTTCTGCCTGGCATCTCCACCTGCCACCAGCTCAAGGTTAGTGAAACATGCAAAAGCTCACTCAGAGGGTGGAGGCAGGGGCAGGCGCCACCAAGGCCAGGGGCTGGCTGGACAGGAAGAGAAGGCGGCATTGGCCAGGTGCTTACAGCACAGATGGGCCAGCCAGTGTCTCTGGGCCATGGAGGGGCCAGGACTCCCTGGGACAGAGGTGGGCAGCAGCACCCAGAGAGGATTTCCACAGGTTGAGGAGTCACTGGGCCTCTGGGGTAGGAGAACCCTTCAGCCTGCCCAGCCAGAAAGTCCATCTCCTACCCTGTGTCTGGGTCTTTAGGGCCTGGGTACAAGAAGGACACAGAAGGCACTTACAAGGGGAGCTGAGGCCGGGAGGCTGAAGCAGAGGCTCAGGTCTCGGGGTGGGGGATAAGTATGGGTGGGTGAGCTACAAAGCATAGTAGCTCCAATGGCAGCTGCAGGAGCCAGGCGGGAGGCTGGGGCCACGTCCAGGCCTTATCTTCCCATGGGGAAGGGGCTTCTCTGGGCAGGCTGGAAGAGATGGCTGACCTGGGACCTTTCCTTCGCCAGCAAGACCCACTGAATAGGCAGGTAATTCAGACACACACTGGGGAGAGGCAGCTGGCTCGGGACAGAGGCCTCAAGAGGCCCGAGAGCTGTCTGCTCATAGGATCATCCCCGGCTTCCCCAGCAGCTAGGACCAGCAGGTGGACATCCAGTGGGGTGGGCTTAGAGGTCTGGGGGCCTTTCCCAGATAGAATCCTCCCAGGAGAGACAGGAGTGGTAGGCTGAGTGTCCAGCTCTGGATTCTCCAAGGCACCTAGCTGTGGTGAGTGGCAGGTAGAAAGGATTAGAGACCCCAAGAGAGTGAAGTGGTCACTGGGCCTGGGCCAGTCCCATTTCCCGAGACACAGGCTGTCTGGACATCAGATATATATACATATATATTAATGTGTTAGTCTGGTCTTTTTGGTTAAACTTTAGGCACCGCTTGGGAGGAAGACACCTTTACATGTTAAAGACCCCAGCACCTCCACAGGGAGCCTGGCCACATGCAGAGCTGGAGGGCAGGGTGCAGGCAAGGGGTCAGGCCACGGCAGACTCAGGACCCCCTAGAGAGGCTGAAGGCCCTGAGGCATAGCGGCGGCCATAACTGGAGGAAGAGTAAGAGGAAGAAGAGAAGGTCATGGAGAAACCGGAGCCAGTGGCATCAAAGCTGCCGCGGCGGGAACCGGCCCGGGAGCCGGTGCGGGAACCAGTGCGTGAGCCCGTGGTGGAGCCAGAGCCGCTGACGCTGTAGGGGCTATAGTAGCCCTTGCTGGACTGTGCCGCGGCTTCCAACAGCCTCAGCCCTGTGCCCTCCTCCACCATGCTGCGGTCCAGAGCATCCTTGTAGGAGATCTTGAGCTTGGTCTTGGGGCACGTGAGGTACTTGGAGTAGGCACTGACATCACGCAGCTTCTGGGCAGTGCGGGCATCCACCGTGCCACGTTGCAGGGCCTCGTCAAGGGGCACGCGGCCAGGGGTGTCAGGCTCAATCAGACCACCTGTTAGGTACTGCACTTCCAGGAAGCGCTGGCCAGCCTCGTAGTAGAGCCAGCCCTTCTTCAGGGCCTGGGCAGCTGACATCTTGGTCTTGGTGCGTGGGTCCTCAAACCCACAGAAGGCCTTCTGGGCCAGATTGATGCGGTCTACCATGATCTTGTCCACAAGGCCCTTGTTGACAGCCTCGGTGACCGGGAAGCGCTCACCAGTGCTGGGGTCAATGATGCCCCCAGTGCAGGCCTGTGCCTCCAGCAGCCGCTGACCGGTGATGTTGTCGACCAGGTTGCGGTGCATGGCCTCCGTGATGGACACCTTCTCCAGAGTCTCTGTGTCCAGGATGCCGGCCACTGGGCCAGTCTCCTCGGTAGGATCAGACCAGGAGGCTAACTGGGTCCTAGAGACGGCAGGGCTGATGGGATAGGAGGAAGATGAGCCCACGGATGAGGAGCGGGAGCGGAAGCCACCAGCATTGCCGGAGAGCATGTCAGCAAACTCAGTGATGGAAAGTGTACCAGCACGGTACTGGTCCAGTGCTGAGCGGTCAATGAAGTTCTTGGTGATGGCATCGTCGATGTCATACTGTCGGCCCGAGCGGCGGTCAATGATCATAGATTTGACCACGCCGTCTGAGGAGGAAATGGTGATTTCTTCCCATTCGCATTCCTGCTCTGAGAGCTCCAGGTATGTCTGGTGGTCAATGAGGCCCTTGCGGTAGGCCTCGTACACTGACATCTCCTTGCCTGTCTCGGGGTCCACGATCACCACACGGCGCTTGCGCACTGAAGACTTGGAGGACGTCTTCCGCTCGCGCTTCTTCTCCTTCAGCGGCAGGAGACACAGGCCAGTCTGGGGGTCAGTGATGCAGCGCTCCATCAGCTGCAGGTAGGTGAGGTTCTCCTCCGTGTTGGGGTCAAAGAAACCCTTGGTGTCATCTGAGGGATCGGTCAGGATCTCATTCATCTCCTCATCGAAGAGGCCACGCTTATAGGCCACCTCCACAGGTAGCCGGTGGCTCTCCTCAGGGTCGATGATGCCACCGGTGGCAATCTGAGCCTCTAGCAGACGGATGCCGTGGTCCTTCAGGATGAGGCCCTTCTTCATGGCCTGGAAGAGGGAGATGAGTTTTCCAGAGTAGGGATCCTTGTAGCCAGTGACAGCACGCTCAGCTGACAGCAGCTTGTCTTTGAACTCGGGACCCACAATGCCCATACGCACAGCCTCCTCCACAGTCAACTTGAGTCCCTTGATAGGGTCAATGACATAGCCAGTGGCTGCCTGTGCTTCCAGGAGCTCAAAGGCTGTACCTGGGCGAATAATGCCCTTCTTCATGGCCTGGTACACCGAGAGCCGCTCCTTGGTAGCATCAACAAAGACTCCAGCAATGCAGCTGGTACCCTCAAGGAACTTCTGCAGGTTCTTGGTGACCTCCTCAATGGAGGTCAGGCCTTCTTGCAGCTGTAGCGCTGTGGCCTCATCCAGGACCTGGGACCGCACCAGCTCCTCCACGGTGATCTGCTTGCGCAGGCCACGGAAGGTCAGCTTGCGGGCATCAGAGAGTGGCAGGAGCATTTGGCCACTGTTATCATCACGGCGGCACCGCTTGAGCAGCTGTGTGTAACTGAGGCGCTCATCCGTGGAGGGATCCACATAGCTGCGCACCTCACTGGGCTCCGACAGCTGGTCATGCGTGTCTTTATTGAGGTAACCACGTTGGTAAGCCACCTCCAGAGGGAGGTGGAAACCCAGGCGGGGGTCCACTATGCCTCCTGTGGCTAGCTGGGCATCCAGCAGCCTCAAAGCCTCCTCAGCAGGGATCAGCTCCTTCTTCATGGCCTGGAAGAGCGAGATGGTCTGTTCGGTATAGGGGTCACGGTAGCCAGTAACAGCCCGCTCTGCGGAGAGCAGCCGATCATGCAGCTCTGGGCCTACCAGACCCTTCCTCACGGCCTCATCCACAGTCAGCCGCTCACCCTTCACAGGGTCCAGCAGGAAGCCCGTGGCTGCCTGTGCTTCCAGCAACAAGCGGGCCACCTCAGCATTCAGCAGCCCCTTCTTAAGGGCCTGGTAGATGGTTAGGGTCTGCCTGGAGCCAGGCAGGTAGACACCGGCCACAGAGCCTGTGCCATAAAGGTAGCGCCAGGCAGATTCCATCTCCAGAACCTCACGGAGGCTCTTGGTGCCCTCCCGGAAGAGGTTGTAGGTCTCGAGGGAGATGATCCGGGCCTCATACAGGTCTTCGGCAGTGAGGCGGCGGCGCACGTAGTCGTAGGAGGCAAGGTTCTGCTGGCGGATGATCTCAGTCTTCTCGATGATTTCAATGATGATGATGATCATACGCTCCTTGGTCACTCGGCCAGCCTGAAAGTCAGCCATGAGCCGGGTTCGCTGATCCTCCGGGATCATGTCGGACTGCATCACCTCCCACAGGGACATGGAGGAGCCACCGTGGCTGCCACCACCAGGGATGTCAATCTGTGTCTCCTCGAACGCCCTCCTAGTCTCCTCCTCTGTATACACCTGTGTGGTCTCCACCACCTCGGTCTTCTCGGCCCCTCTGAGTGGCAGGAGGCGCAGGCCTGTCTCGGGGTCCTCCACACAGCGCTTCAGCAGCTGCAGGTAGGTGAGGTTCTCACGCGTGTTGGGGTCGAAGAAGCCCTTGGTGTCGTCACTTGGATCTGCCAGCACACGGTTCATCTCCTCATCCAAGTAGCCACGCTGGTAGGCCACGTCCACGGGCAGGCGGTGGCTGTGCACAGGGTCAATGATGCCACCCGTGGCGATCTGAGCCTCCAGCAGGCGGATGGCATGTTCCCTGAGGACCAAGCCCTTCTTCATAGCCTGGAACAGTGAGATGGTGGTGCCTGAGTAAGGATCCTTATAGCCAGTGACCGCCTTCTCAGCCGACAGTAGCTTCTCATGGAGCTCAGGGCCCACGACTCCCGCCTTGACAGCCTCATGGACGTACAGACGTTGGTTCCGCACAGGGTCCACTAGAAAGCCAGTGGCTGCCTGGGCCTCCAGCAGGAGTGTGGCTGTGCCGGCTGTGAGGAGACCACGGCGCATAGCCTCATAGATGGTGACTTTCTCCTTCGAGTCCTCCAGGTAGATGCCAGCCAGGCAGCCGCTGCCTTGCAGCAGGGTCCGCACGGAGTCCACCTCCGACAGATCTTTGACTGTTGTCTTGCCATCCTTAAGCTGGTCAAACTGAGCTCTGTTGAGGATCTTGGCAGCAAGGAGCTCACTGGCTGGCACAGGGGCACGGAGGCCACTGAAGGACAATCGCTCCTGCCGCTTGGTCTCCACCTCCTCCACAATAGTGATAAGAATTTTGATGACCTTCTCAACGGTGACCTTGCCTGTGCGGAACTGCCGGAGCAGCTCCTGCCGCTGCTCCTCAGTGAAGTACTCAGAGCTTATGAGTTCCCACACTGTCATTGTCCTGCCCTTGAAGCTGCCCACGGGAACCTCAACTGTGGCCTTCTCCAGTGTCTCACGGGCCTGGAGCTCAGAGTAGACCTCCTCCTGCCTGGCCCGGACAGCCTTCTCTGAGAGTGGCAGCAAGCTCAACCCGGTTAGCTGGTCAGACCGGCACCGCTGCTGGAGCTGGCTGTAGGTTACTGGCTCCCGGGTACTGGGGTCAAGGTAGACTCTGGCATCGTCCCTGGGTGACAGCAGGGCCTTGTTGGTCTCTTTGTCCAGGTAGCCCCGGGTGTAGGCAACATCCAGGGGCACACGATGGCTCTTGCTGGGGTCTACAATGCCACCAGTGGATAACTGGGCATCTAGCAGGCGCAGTCCCTGTTCCCGGGGGATGAGACCCTTCTTCAGGGCCTGGAACAGTGAGACACTCTGTCCTGAGTAAGGATCCCTATAGCCTGTCACAGCCTTCTCAGCCGACAAGAGCTTCTCGTGCAGCTCAGGACCCACTAGGCCAGCGCGCACCGCCTCATCCACCGTCAGCCGGGCACTAGTGGCAGGGTCGATGATGTGCCCAGTGCCAGCCTGGGCCTCCAGCAAGGCCACAGCCACATCTGGCTGCAGCAAGTCTTTCTTCAAGGCCTCGTAGATGCTCAGCTTCTGCCCTGCTTCTTCCAGCCACACACCGGCAATGACATTGGTACCCCGCAGGGCCCGCCTCACGCTGTCTGCCTCGGCCACCTCCCGCACAGAACGCTCACCCCGTTGCAGCTGCTGGTAGAGTTCTTGGTTGATGACCCCACTGTCCAGCAGCTCCGCAGCAGGCACGAGGGCACGGAGCCCCTCGAAGCAGAGCTGGCTCTTCCGCTCGTGTTCCTCCACCACCGTGATGACAATCTTGATGATCTTCTCCACTGTGATGCGGCCCGTGCGGAACTGTCGCAGCAGGTCGCGCCGCTGCTCCGCGGTAAAGTACTCGGAGTTGATGATCTCCCAGATGGTCACAGTCTTACCCTGGAACTTGCCGAACGGTGCAGACACAGTGGCCTTCTCAAAGACGTCACGGGCCTCTGTATCAGTGTACACCAGCTCGCCACCTTTGGCGGCCTTATCTGTGAGTGGCAGGAGGCGCAGGCCTGTCTCGGGGTCCTCCACACAGCGCTCCAGCAGCTGCAGGTAGGTGAGGTTCTCATGCGTGTTGGGGTCGAAGAAGCCCTTGGTGTCGTCATTCGGGTCAGCCAAGATGCGGTTCATCTCTTCATCGAAGTAGCCACGCTGGTAGGCCACATCCACAGGCACGCGATGGCTGTGTACAGGGTCGATGATGCCACCCGTGGCGATCTGAGCCTCCAGCAGGCGGATGCCATGGTCCCTGACGATGAGGTCCTTCTTCATGGCCTGGAAGAGGGAGATCTGCTCACCCGTGTAGGGGTCCTTGTAGCCTGTGACAGCACGCTCGGCCGACAGGAGCTTGTGGTGCAGTTCAGGACCCACAACCCCCTCCTTCACAGCCTCATTGACAGTCAGCCGCCGGTTCCGCACAGGGTCCAGCAGGAAGCCTGAAGCCGCCTGGGCCTCCAAAAGGATAAGAGCTGTTCCAGGGCTAAGCAGCTGCCTCTGTAGAGCTGTGTAGACACTCAGTTTCTCATTGGTGGGCTTCAGCAGCAGTCCTGCAATGCTGCTGCGGCCCCTCAGGTACTGGCGCACATCTTCCCGCTGCATGAGCTCAGTCACTGTGGTGTGGCCCTGCGCCAACCGCTGCAGTTCCTCCATGCTGAGAATGCCTGCTTCCTGTAGCTGCTGAGCTGGCACCTTCTGACGTAATCCCTCGAAGGTGTGCTCAGGTTCCACCTCCACGGATGGGCCGTCGAGGGCATCGCGGCCATTGGGCAGGGCTTTTGCGGCAGCAGCCTGAGTGGCGGCGATCTCCTCAGAGTGTGCCAGTGCAGCTCGGTGCTCTTCCTCCAGGCGCTGCAGCCGCTCGCGCAGCCTCTGGTTCTCCTCAGCCAGCAGCTTCTCCTGCTGCTGCCGCTGCTGCTCCAAATGTTGCAGCTCCTCTTGCTTACGCCGCACACCCTCCTCTGCCTCGTGCTGCCGCCTCCTGGCTTCCTCCATGCTGGCCATCAACTCCTGCTTCTCCTGCTCCATCTGCTGCTGCTGCCGCTGCTGCTCCAAATGTTGCAGCTCCTCTTGCTTACGCCGCACACCCTCCTCTGCCTCGTGCTGCCGCCTCCTGGCTTCCTCCATGCTGGCCATCAACTCCTGCTTCTCCTGCTCCATCTGCTGCTGCTGCCGCTGCTGCTCCTCACGGAGCTGTTTTGCTTTTGCCACTTCATCCTGGAAAAGCTGTTCCAGCTTGGCCTTCTCCTCCTCGATGAAGCGTTCCCGTTGCAGCAGGCTATCCTTCTCAGAGAGAAAGCTCTTCTGCAAGGCCTGTGTCTCCTGCAGTATCTGTTCCTGCTGCACCGTCTGCATCTGTTGGGGATGGGAAAAGGGTCAGCTCTCGGGGAGGATGGAGACCCAGAAGCACTCACCACCAAGGGTAGGCCCTCCCTGCCACCCAGCCCGCCCTTCCGCCTGTGAGGAAGGAGGGCGATACCTCCTCAGACTTGAGCTGCAGCAACTTGGCCTCTTGCTTGAGCTTTTCCTTCTCACGCTCCAGCTCAGCAATGGCGTCCCTCAGACGCTCGGCATCATGATCACTCTGCTGTCGCTGGATCTCCAGCGTCTGCACCAATGTCACCTTCTCCTGTGTAGCTAGCTCAGTGCGGTGCAGCTTTTCACCGATCTCTTCAGCCTGCTTCCGGAAGCGCTGGGCATCCTCCTCTGCCCGGGCCTGAGCTCGGCTCATCTCAGCCATGCGCAGCTTGAGGCGCTCAGCCTCTGCACTCATTTCCAGCTGCCGCTGCCGCTCTGCCTCCAGAGTCCGCTGGAAACCCTGAGTCTCCTCTACCAACTGCTGCGCCATCTGCTCCTTGTCCTCCTGCAGCCGCCGGGCCTGCTCCTGCGCAAGCTCCTTCTGCTGCTGTAGCAGTTCGGCCTCAGCCTTCAGCCTCGTGGCTTCCTGCACTGCCTGCATCTTTTCCTTGAGCATCTTCTCTGCCAGGGCCCGCTGCTGTGCCAGGTCCTCCTCCGCTAGCTGCCGCAGCCGTGCTGCCTCCTGGGCAGCCACACTCAGCCGAGCGGCCTCCTCCGCCACCTGTTTCATCTTCTCAGCCTCCTCCTCCAGGAAGCGCTGGGTGTTGTCCTTGTCGCGCAGGATGAGTGCCCGGTTTTCAGCTTCAATGCGAGCCTTGAGCTTGCCCAGCTCCTCCATCTGCACGCGGACAGAGAAGAGCTCCTCCTCTACCTGGCTCCGCTGCCGGGCTGCCTCTGTTACCTCGGCCTTTAGCCGCTGCAGCTCCTCATCCAGGATGCTCTTCTGGTGGTCCGTTTCCTCTAGTTGCAGTCTTAGAGTCGTCAGCTCCTGCTCAACCTGGGCCTTCTGCCGCAGGGTCTGCTCCGCAAACTTCTTATGCTTCTCCATCTCTGCGTCAGCTGCTTGCTTCTGTTTCAATGCCGCCTGCTCTGCCTGAGCCCGACGTGCTGCCTCCTGCTCGGCTTCCTTGCGCAGCTTCTCTGCGGCTGCCTGTGCCTGAGCCCGTGCCTGTGCCTGCTCCTCGGCTGACTGTTTCAGCCGCTCTGCCTCTTCTACTTGTTTCCGTGACTGTGCGGCCTCCCGTTCTGCCTGCTCCCGGGCCTCCTCTGCCTCTTCAGCAGCTCGCCGGGCTGCCTCGGCCTCACTGCGCAGCCGTTCCAGCATGTTCTGCTCCTGCTGAAGTGTCTGCTGCAGCTCCTCTTCTCGCTGTTGCACCACAAAGGCATGCGCCTTCTCTTCTGCCTGCAGTCGTTTCTGGGCAGCCTCCTGGGCCAGCTGCAGTTGTCTTGCTGACTCCTGCTCTGCTCTTTCTCGCTGGCGCCTGGCTTCTTCCACCTTGGCCTTGAGCCGCTCGACTTCCTCCAGTGCAACCTTGCGCTGGCGTGCAGCTTCCTCCTCAGCTGCCAGACTCTTCTGCACACGTTCCTCAGCCTCCCGGCGCTTCTGCTCCTCCTCAGCTGCCAACTGCCGCTGCCTAGCTGCCTCCTGCTCCGCCTGCTCCTTGCTGCGCATTGTGTCCTCAGCATTGCTACGAATGCGCCCTAGCTCCAGCTCCAGCTCTGCCTTGCCAGCGGTAGCTTTCTCAAAGCTCACCTTCAGCGCCATGATCTCCTCCTCCACTTGTCGCCGCTGCCGCAGCGTGTCCTCCACCAACCCCTTTTGCCTCTCTAGCTCACTCTCTGATGCCTTGCGCAGCTGGGCCAAGCGCTCCTCTATGTCAGCCTTGTGCTGCGCAGCCTGCTCCTCCAGACGCCGCCGCTGGAAGGCCTCATCTTCAGCCAGGCGCCGCAGGCGCTCATTCTCAGCCTCCTTCTCTTTAAGGGCAATCTCTGCCTCGGTCTTGAGCCTGGTGGCCTCACTGATGGCAGCCAGCTTCTCAGTAAGCACTCGCTCTGCCTCAGCCCGCTGGCGAGTTGCATCCTCCTCGGCCAGCTGCCTCTGCCGCTTGGCCTCCTCAGCCAGGGCACGCAGACGAGCAGCCTCCTCGGCCAGCTCTCGAAACCTGTCCGCCTCGGCCTCTAGCCTCTGCTTAGACTTCTCGTTGGTCGAACGAGACTCTTCCTCGGCTCGTGCCTTGCTGGCCAGCAGCACCTCCATCTCCGCTCGCACCTTGGCCAACTCGGCCTCCAGTTCCTGGCGCTTCTGCGTGGCTGCGGTTGCTTCCCGCTGTAGCCGGGCCAGCTCCTCTTCTAGCAGCTGCCGCTGCTGTTCACCCTGCTCTGTCTCAGCCCGTAGGCGGATCAGCTCCTGCTCTGCAGCCAGGCGCTGCTGCGCAGTGCCCTCTGCCAGCTGTCGCTGCTTCTCCAGCTCCTGTTCCGCCAGCTCTCGCTGCCGCACTGCCTGTTCCTCTGCCTTGCCACGTCGCCGTGCTTCGCGCTCTGCCTCTTCTTTCTGCTTCTCTGCATCAGCCTGTGCCAGGCTCTTCTGCTGGGCCACCTCTTCCGCCTGTAGCCGCAGCCTCAGCGCTTCATTGGCTTTCAGCTGCCAGCGCTCCAGTTCCCGCTCAGCCTCCTCCCGGGCTCGTTCGGCCTCAGCTTGTTGCTGTGCCCGCCGCTCGGCCTCCTCCCGCAGCTGTGTCACGGTCACATGCTCCTCCTGCAGGGTGCGCTCCAGCTGTGCTGTCTTCTCTGCAAAGGATGCACGCTTGCTCTGCAGTTCTGCCTCTGCACTGCGCTGTGCCGTCTCCAGAGCCACCTGCACTTGGCGTGCCCTCTCTGCCTCAGCTTGGCGCAGTCGCCGTTCAGCCTCCTCAGCTTGCAGTCGCAGTTCCTCCAGGGCCTGCAGGGCCCGCTGCTTCTCTCGAGCCGCCTCGGCTTCAGCCTTCACACGCAGGGCCAGCTCTGCCTCTGCTTGCCTTTTGCGCTGGCTCTCATCTTGCACCTGCCTTCGCAAGCGCTCAGCTTCCTCCTGAGCCTGCCGTTTCTGTGCTTCGGCCTCCTCGGCTCGTGCGCGCAGAGCTTGTAGCTCACCCTCTGCCCCCCCACGTTGGCGCTCAGTTGTTTCCAGCTGCAGGCGCACTACACGGATCTCTTCCTCAATGCGCATCCGGCTGCGTTCTGCAGCCTCCACCTGTTGGGCCTTGGCCTGGATCTCTGCCTCTGAGCTCTGCCGAAGATGCTGCAGCTCCTCTTGGATGCTGCGCTTCTGCTGCTGTGCGTCCACCGCTGCCTCCTCACGTCGCGCCACCTCCTCCTTCATGCGCCGCTGCAGTTCTTGTGCTTCCAGCTCCGCCTGAGCCTTAGCCTTGGCATGTGCCTCAGCTAGCTGTCGCTGCTTCTCCAGCGCAGCCTCTACCTCAGCCAGTCGCTCTCGTTCCTCTGCCCGCTGTTGCTCAGCCAGCCTCTGCGGCAGCAGCAGAGAGAGGAAGAGCATGAGTGTAGGGAGGGTGCCAGGCGCTCACATTACATGGAAGGTACCACCACAGTTCACTTGGACAGCACAATTTGGGGGGAAGAGGGAGGACAGAGGTTCCAACCCAGCCAAGGAGACAGCGTGCACCCGCCCAGGGTACTTGGGCAGCGAGCATAGCGGCCCCACCATGCTCACCAGCCTGGGGAAGGAGGCCCAGGCGTCCTCCCCTCTTCCCGCAGACAGGCGACGGAGACAGATGGACAGGGAGAGAGAAAGAGAGCAAAGCAGGAGGCTTGCAGAGCCTGCAAGCCGTACCCACCATACCACAGTCCTGCCTGAATCCTAGCAGACCCTCTCAGGCCTGGTTCCCACAAAAGGACCCTCTCCCTTCACAGGGAGTGGGGCTGTTCCCAAAGCCCAGTGGGGCGGGGGCATGGTGAGGCAGCAAAGTAGGGACAGCCGTGCAGACCAGATCCAGCACAGAAGGGCTTTTAAGCCGGCAAACCAGGAGCAAAGAGTAGGTAGGGCTATAAGCAGGCCCACAAGGCCACCTGGGATGTAGGGAACTAGACAGATGGCACCATGCCTGGCCAAGTTACTCTGAGACGCCCCTCTCCAAACCCCACAACAGCATACACCAACTCTTCCTAGGGCAAGAGCCCCAGTGACATCAACACAGAATCCCCAGGAAGAGCATGTATGTGAGCCAGAAGGATGCATGTAAAACAAAAAGAAAGGGCGCACTAGCCACCAGGCAAGAGCCGAGCCGAGCCAGATTAAGTAGGGGCCATAAGGAAGGGAGACCTGGGGAGCCGTGCTGGGATGGGGTACTGGGCAGCACTGGGCATGGGGCTTGGAGTTAACTCTAACAAGTGGACTCAGACAGTTGTCTAGGGACTGCATTTGTAGTCAGAAAAAGGGACTTCCCCCACCCTGCCCACACGGCCTGAGGCATACATACCTCTTCCTCTTCCATGCGGCGCAGCGTCTCACTGATGAACTTGATGTACTGACTTGTGAGTGTGGTCAGCTCACTGTAGCGTGTACGCAAATCCACATACTGGGAGAGAGGAGAACACCCATCAATAACTGAGAGCCCCCTGAGCCCCTGGTAGCCCCCTGCTCAGCTGAGGCCTGGCCCACCTCCATCCTACCTCTTGGATGACACTCTCCGATCCAGACTGAACCTTGGGCTTCTTGGCTGGGGAGGCCACAGGCTCAAGCTGCGCCTTGTAGGTGACCAGCTGGAGTTCATAGTCCTATAGACACACAAGGCAGTCAGCTGCCAGCTCTACAGTCTGGTTGCCCAGGCTGTCTCACAAGCTTTCTCTGGCGCAGAACAGGCTTACGAGGGCCCCAGGTTTGAGTTTTGGAGCCGGCAGCGGGGAGGCCTCACCTTGATTGCGTTGATGTACTGCTTGGCGAACCTCTGGCACTCCTCCACCTTCTCGCCGTGCCGCTCAATCTCCTCCAGCAGGGCCTGAGGGAGGGAGGGGTTAGCGTCGAGCTACAGGCTGCGCCCTGCCACATGCCACCCTATCGGGGCCTACCTTCTCCTGGCGCAGTTGTTCTCGGGCAGCCTGGCTGTTGGGTATTGGCACGGCCTGGATCTGTTCTTGCCGCTTCTTGGCATCCTGCAGCCAGGAGCTCAGTGGGTCTGCGCTCTCACGGTAGTAGCGAAGTTGGCGACCCAGCTGTTCCAGCTCCCGCTGTCGCACATCAGTCTGGGCTAGTACAGCCTGCCAGCGCTCCAGCAGCTGAGTGACGCGCTCTCTCCAACGTTCCACTTCCACGTCCCGTTCGCCGTGCCGCTGCTGTAGCCGTTCACCCACTTCCTGTGCCCCCCGCAACTCATCTCTTAGGGTGTCGAATACAGGCTGCTGTGCTTCCGCCTGGGCCCGCAGTTTCTATTGGGTAAGGCAGGGCGGGTATCATTTATTTTAACACAGACTCCAATTGGCCCTGTCCCAGGGAAGCACAAGTTCCCAAATGTTACCTTCAGTGAGGCCTTGGTGGCTTCAAGCTCTTGGAGAGTGGCAGGCACAGCCTGGGCCTCCTTGAGCTGCTCCTCATGGGCTTTAAGCACCTCCTCGGCCCCCTGGGTACTGCGAATTACCAAGCTGATGGTCTTAAGTCTAGGTAGGAGAGAACAAGACTCAGTCAGGAAATAGACGAGCTCAAGCAACACACCCTAGACGAAGGAACTGGAGCCGCTAGGTACCTCCTGCTATGCCATACCCTACCTGGCCAGACAGAACAGTGGTCACATAAGCTAGGAGACCTGGAGGGAGGATGCTCCAGCTAGGAGCAGCAGATTCTACAGTCCTGGGGCAGGTGATAGCACCTGCAGCACAGTCCTCAACCTCCAGCTCAAGACTGGCTGAGCACACAGGAAGTAGAACAGAGCCGATCCTAACCTAACACTGTGGATGCAGGGCCTGGCGAGATGCCTCAGTGGTTAAGAGACTGACTGCTCTTCCAGAGGACCGGGGTTCAATTCTCAGCACGCATGTGACAGCTCACACCTCTCTTTAATTCCAGTTCCAGGGGATCTGAAACCCTCATATAGGCACACATGCAGGTAAAATGCCAATGCACATAAAATAAAAATAAATTATCTAAAAATAAAAGTAAAGGCTGGATGCACTATGTAATACAGGAAGCAATGCATGCCAAGGCTTCTGAAAGCCAGGCCCTACGGATGTGCCTACTGTGCCTCTGAATCAAAATATGCTGGAAAAAAAAAAAAAAGCACAGAAACTCTGCAGCTAGGCAGAGGGGCTGGGCTCCAGGAAGGCTCTCGTGCCACCAAGAGCTCAAGCAAGGAACGATCCTGAAAGGATGAGGTCAAGAGGCCTGGGAGCATCTTGCTGCCCTGCCCCTCTGATGTCTCAAGCATTGCTCCAGTCTTAATGATGCTCCTCTTAGGTCTCCTCCATGTTTCTGCACCAAGAAGCTCATCCATCGCTCAAACTCACAGATGCCCTCCATGTAGCAGATTGGTCCTTCCTCGTGAGCCACCAGCCTGGCTACACCTCATGGCATCTCTCCCTTCCTCCTCCCTCCTTCCTTCCCTCCTTCCTCTCTCCTTCCCTCTCCCTTCTACTCACAACGTGGAGCAACCTCTGCTCCAACCCATCCTCTCCCCTCACTCTTCACTGAGCTGGCTCCCACACCTTTATTCCACACCTCACATGCCATCATCAAGAAGATCTGTGGCTATGATCTTCAGACTGCATCAGGCTTTGAGCATTCCTTACCACCTCAAGCTTCTGTGTAGGTCCAAACCCACGCCCACCATCCCCTAGCCAGACTGTCCAACGGCCCTCGCTGCCGCTTCACACCCCCACCCTCATCTTTCCTCTGCTCAGAACGTGTCTGCAGTCACTGCCCTCACGGGAGGAGGCCGTCCGGACCCCAAAACCTGCACAGAGATACTCACTTCTCCAAGTAGATGGCAGATAAGCTTCGGACCTGTTCTAGCTTGCCCAGGGTCAATTCCAACTCCGAGCGCAGGGTGGGAGCAGCAGGTGACGGCTCTGGCAAGGCTAGAACTTTCTCAGCCTCAGCAGAGAGGCGGGCGACTCCCTTGCCCAGCCCCTCCACCTCAGCCTGGGCTTTCTGCAGAGAGACCAGATAGGAACACACTGACCAGCAGAGCCTAACAACCAGCTTCCCTTGAGGGTGAGAGAGGTTGTGGGGGGGGGGGGGAGAGTGAGATATAAATGGGGACTGCGCCTGCCTGTTGCTCAGCGATGCGCTGGGCACACTCCCGTGCAGGCTCTTTGTCCAGTGGTAGCCGCAGACGGTGTACGGTCCGGGTCTCACAGGCCTCCAGTTGCAGCCGAATGTCCTTGAGCTCCGAGATGCATCGCTGACAGCGAGACTCCTCTTGCTCGCCTGGGGAAGCAACCAGATTAGTCAGAAATGACCTGCCTACAGCCCGCCTCCCTGCCTCCCCACAAGGCCTTGCCCATCACATACCCTGCTCCAGGCTTTGTAGTAGCTGCTGGTAGTGGCGGCTGCAAGATCCATACTCGCGTTCTGCCACTAGCCGGTCCTCAGGCCCGAAGCCGCCAGCATCCTGGCTGTCTCGAAGGAAGGCCTGGTAGTGCGACTCCAGGCTGCGCAGAGCTTGGCGCTGCTCCTCCGGCTTCAGTGTACGAAACTAGAGGTGGCACACGTTGTTGGGAATGGTGCCGGGACAAATGGTGCCCACAAAACACTATCATCCATCCTCCCTGGTACCCATGGCCAGTGTGCAGTCCTACCGTGACGAGTGACCAGGACCGGATGAGCTGTATGTCCCGATTGAGGCTCTGCCATGCCAGAAGGCTCTTCATGTTCACGTGCAGCTGGTGCCACAGTGTGACCAGGGCCTGATGCTGGGCCTCCAGTCTAGGAGACAAGGACCATGTTCAGGAGCGTCCAGAACCCTCCTCATGGCAAACAACCTGCCTACAGCCATGAACTTTGAGGTTACCCACCTAGTGACAGCTTCTTGGGCCTCCTGGTTCGGTGGTGGAACAAGAAAGCACACTGAAGGCACAGCAGCCTCACTACTGGAACTGCTGAGTACCTTCCAGTGGGATGGCTGGGCAGGACCCACCAGCTGGCATTGGTCACCCTTGTGTACAGTCACCTAAGATAGTCAGAGTAGTAAAGAATGTAAGCAAAGTAAACTATGCCCTGGCCAACCCATCCCATCTGGCTTGAGCACAGCCTAGCCCAGCTCTCACCTCCACCTGCTTGTAGTCACACACAGCCAGCAGAGGCACGTGGCCCCGCACAGGGTAGGCAGGGTTACGTGGCTTCAACTGCACAATGGCCTTGGCCCGCTTGGCCAAGCCTGAGAGGTGCCCCTTGTACTCATTCAGCTGCTCCTTCTCGTCCTGTAAGGAGGGGAGGCTCAGGGTTAATCCATCTCACTTCAGATGCAGAGATGCCCGGCCCAGGAAGCAGCAGACACCCCCAGTACCCTGTCTGGGGAGACTTTTGATGCTAGGAATGAGAGCACTTAAAGGCAGTTAAGAGGGTACAGGCTTCCACAGGTTGATTCCACTGACCTCCTTCCTTCCAACCAAGACTAGGTACCCCACCCCTACCCTACCCTACCCAAGGCCACTCCTGCATCCTCTAAAGAAGGAAGCCGGTCTACTTACAAACCAGTCCCTGCAATGACCTCAGCCCTGCTCTCTCCCCTTCTAACTGTAAAAGAAGGTCATCCTCCTCCCGCATCTAACCTGAAGAGAGCGGAGGAAGAAGAAACCTCATCAAGTTCTCCCATCCTCTCAGGTAAGTACTGTAAGTAGTCCAGTCTCTGCAGATCATAGAACCAGCTTCCTCCTCTCCCCTCTGCCTCTAGGACTCCCTGTCCTGAGTACTGAGACTACTGGAGATACCCCCAACCATGCCCTAGTGTATATGGGCACCACGCCAGCTGCCCAGCTGCCCCCCACAGCACTGTAGCTATGCCTGCTCGGGTCATCGATGCCTATCCACCACAGGGCTGCTGACAGCTCCACTCAGGTAGAGGGGGGTGATTCATGCCAGCCCACCAGCCTGGCACCCATCTTTCTGTTTGCTGCACAGCCGCAACCCCTGTGTGTCTCCTTGGCCTTGCTGGCCTTCCACCCCATCCACAGGTACCCACAGAGCCCACATTCCATCCAGTCTGTCCCTCTGTTTCTTGTTCACATCCACCTCACCTGGGCATCCTGCAGCAGGTCCTCCAGCCTGGTGACGGTGATGGAGCGGTCACAGGTGTACTTCCTGCGCAATGTGTCCTGTAGTTTCTGCAACTGTTCCTCGGCCTCTCGTACATCTGAGAAGAACTGGGGCAGCAGGAAGGGTCACACAAGGCTGACAAGCCCAAACCCCAGGCAAGCAAAGGCCAAGAAGCCAGGGACGAGGGATGAGGTGCTGGAAACCCCCAAGGTGGACTGGCAGTCAGGGCTACACATATGTCAGGGGCTATGGGGACTCTTCCAGGGCACTGCAGCTGAGCCACAGGAGACAGAGGCGCTCTGGTCCTCACCTGGAAGTAGGCTGTGTTCTCTTTCAAGTGTGCTTCAATGCAGCAACACAGCTGTAGCATCCAGCTCCACTGGGTCTGCAAGGCAGCCTGGAAGGACTGTAGACGACACGGTCCTTAGACCCCACCCCGACGCCATCAGTCCCATCACCCCCACCGAAGCTTATAAGCCCTGCAGCCGTGCCCCCACCTCCACTGTGGGCCGGGCAGGATGGTCCTCCCGCAGCAGCCGGTCCCCGGTATTCTGGATCTCCTTGATTTTCTTTTCCTTCATTTCCAGTTCACGCATCAGGGCCTGACAAAAAAAGGGAAAGGGTCTCAGGGACAATTTCAGGAAGGCTGTAAATGTAAAGTGTTCCACGCCCATCTCCACAGAGCCCTGAAGCTGAACCATGGGAGACAATAGGGATGTGAGTGGGAAGGGAGAGGGTGGACACAGCGGTACTGTGAAGAAAAAGCCGCCTCACCGAGTAACTCTCCTTCTTAGCAGCCATGTTGGTGTTGCGGTCACTCCAGTCAAAGCCCACTTCCTCCTCTTCCTTCTCATTCAGCCACATCAGCTCCTTGGTAGCTGCAGCCACAAACCCGTGCAGGCTCTCCAGGGACCGGAGGCGGGCCTTGGAGGAGTTCTTGAAGTAGGAAGGAATGAGTCAGCTGACTGCTGCTGCCCACCCCTCCCAGCCACCTGCAGTCCCCCCACTCACCAGCAGCTTTGCATACTGCAGGTCCAGGCGACCCAGGCAGTCTCGGTAGGCACCCCGGGTGGCAGGGGAGAGCTGGCTCTGCAAAAGAGAGGAGCGGAAGGTCTGCAGTGGCCCAGGCCTGGCCCACAACCATCGCCTACCCCAAGTGTCCTGCTTACCTCATCATTCCGTGCCCGCTCGATCTTGGCCCGGAATTCCTCAATAGACTGATGCATGCCTCGGTGGCTGCCCAGCTGGGCCTCTACACTAGGCAAGTCCACGCCCCACTCAGCACTGTCTATTCGACGCTGGTTCTCCTCTACCCACGCCAGCAGGTCTTGTAGGTAGCGCAGTGTAGAGTCCTCTAGGTCTGGGCGCCTCTGGGTACTCTGCAGGGTCACTTGGGTCACAGGGGCAGACACTCCTGCCTTCAGCCGGAGGTTGTACTCAGTGCGGATGGCTACCAGGCGCTCGTGCAGACGATACACCCTGAGAAGGCACGGGAGTTGGCAAGAGGGTCAGGTGGGTCTCAGGCCACCTAACCCACCCTTCCTAGGTACGGCACGGCACGTACCTCCGATACATCTGTTCGCCCTGTGGGTGCCGCCCATCTTTAAGGGTCTGCACATCGTTGAAGAGCAGCCGGATCATGCCATCAGCCTTGTCCAGGTCTCGCTCCACCTCTCCCGCCCGCTGAGCCGCCTTGCCTGAGGCCAGCAGCCGAATGTCCTGCAAGATGGTCCTGTGTGACTTGGTCTGGCTGACTCTCCTACTCACTGCCTAAGGTTCTCAACCAAGGCTGCCCCTTCACCCACTTCTCCAGCCGAAGATCAAGGTCCTGTCTGGCTCGCAGCCAGATCCTCATTCTTTCCTCTCCCTCCTGGCAATCCCCTGTATCTTCCTATTATGGTTCTAGACAAATCTCTATCAGCTCTTCTCTGGGGAATCAGGATCCGCCCAAAAGATTCCCCGCTAGACCCAAGGGCAGAGACCGGCACAGCTCTGTCCACGGAGTTCCCCTGCCTCACCTCTATCATCTACTACACAACAGCTCCCACCCAGGCCCACACAGCCTGGGCCCTCTGGGTCCCATGGCACTTATCCAGCAATGAGGCTGGGGTCTCCCCACTTACTATTTCCTGAAAGGGGAGAGGATGAAGGAAAGAGGGCTATACTGGAATGAGTCAAGGAGGCTGAGAGTCCTGCCTAGTGGCCAGAAGCCAGTTCTGCTCTCAAAAGGAGGTCAGAGTTGGCAGCAAACCAGAAGGGCCTGGTTTTCCCGCCCTAGTGCCACACCCTGCGCCTGTAGCCCAGCAGGCCACAGCCCTGGCTGCAGAGTAAGCAACTCAGGGCTCCTCCCACCTCCCTCAGGCCTGGAGGGGTGCCCACTCTACCCTTACCCTGCCTCCCCGCCCCCTCGCCCCACCTCTCCTCTCCTCTTCCCCCCCCCCCTCACCGACTGCAGCAGGGAGTCGGCCTGGTTCAGCTGCTCCTCACACAACCCAGCCTCCATCTGCAGTTTGCTCACGATGCGCTGAAGACACTCCAGCCTATGAACCAGACAACCCCAGAGGCCCACAGTGAGTCACTGGGCCCACCACACTCCGGGGGCCAGAGAGTGGCTCCCCTCTGCTCTGGCCTCACTGCCTGCCTGGGGTGTACTGCCCTACTGGCCCTGAGTAAGGGAGTTTGGTTGGGTTTCCCAGCCTAAGGGGGGGGGATTTCCTCCTCAGGCAGTGACTCACCCTGGGGTGGCTCCCCTGCCACCGCAGGGCCCCACCCGTGCCTGCTGCCTCCCACACTGCCCGCCGCACTCCACATGGCCCACCTCTCAAACTCGCTCCGGAGTTGCTTCTCCCGCTCCAGAATGGCCACATGCAGCTTGCCCCATTCCTTTTCCACGTCTAGCGGGTGGTAGCCTGGAGGAATCTTGAGCTGGCCTGCTTGTACTGCCCCCTGTGAACAGGGACAAACTTAGGCCTGAACGGACATAAGGCTTCCTGGATGCTCATCTCTACCCCCGGCTAGGCTAGCCTACAAGCCAGGAGACACCCCGCTCACTTCCCTCAGGCATGCCTCACTTTACCTCCAAGGACTGATAGATGCCTTTGGACCGGTTCTTGTCTGCCTCCTTGGCAGGAAGCTCCGTCTCCTTGAACTTCAGAAACTGGCACCACAGAATCTGTGGAAACGAGGGGGTGTCAGCAGCTACACCGAGACAACCAAAGGACACCAGCCCAAGTAGGCAGGCCCACCTCGATCTCTTCAAAGCTGGAGGGGAACTTGCGTTCCTCAAAGGCAGCAGTATGGTGTCGGATCCACTGCAGAAGCAGCAACACAAGCTCCCGGTACTCCTGCCAGCGAAGCTGCAGCTCCTGAAGGCAAGGGAGTGGACAAGTGGGCATCAGGGTCTTGGGTTCTGGGCTGAGGACCACCTTTCACCCATTGTGGGCTACACTCACATTGGCCCTCACTCCATCCTGTGCGCCGGGCACGCGGGGCATGGCGTCATACAGGGATGAAACATAGGTGATGATAGACTTCTCATCAGGCTGAGGGACATCCACATCTGCAGGGGAAGGCTGGCTCAGTGGGGCCCAAGCCACAAGGGTGAAGATGGGGAAAGCCAGTGAGTGGTTCATACCTTCTGGGTCCAGGAGCCTTGTAACTCCCAGGTCCCGCTCTGCCACGGAGAAGGCCTGGTCTAGGTTCTCCAGGTTGGTCTGACGATACACTTTATTCATATCAATGAGCATGGGCCTGCGGACAAGTGGGAAGGGGTGGGGACAAGGCTACATAGACACATTCCTTCAGACATCCTAGCAAACAGAGCCCCACTCCATACCCTCTTAAAGCCACACCACCTGCTTCACTAACAGCTCTAATCTACAATGGGGAAGATGATTCTTCTTTGGGGTTGGTGGGTTGTTGGTGCTTTGAGGCAGGTCTCACTGTGTAACCCTGGCTGACTGGTCTGTAACTCCTACATAGAGCAGATTCACAGAACCACCTGTCTCTATGTCTGCCACCAGAGCGCTGGCATTAAAGGCATGCACCACCACACCCAACAACGGGGCCCAAGAAGCCTCTGCTGGGCACCAGTACAGAAACAGTACACTAGCTAGATATCATCAACTTGGGTTCCTACAGTCTCCCTGCCCAGCAAGTTCAGAGAGTCCATGTGGACATGACCAGACCGGAAGAACAGAGGTGTTTGGGAAAGGCCCTGGTGGAGACAGCAGGGCCCTGCTCCAGGCACCTCCCAAAGGAAGTTGCAGGAATTCAATACACCCTGCAGCACCAGCTTCCAACAGTGGAAGATAACTCCTCCGGCTGCCTCTCTGCCCTGACTTGTTTGGAAGTCACCAGCTTGAAGTGCTCCCAAACCTCCAGTTCCCTGGGAGCACATACTTGTGCCGGTGGATGATAGCGTTGAAGAGACGGCCATCACGCCAACTGGTGGTGAAGTTGTCACAACGCAGGCCTTGGTAGCCCTCTACCATCCGCTGTGACCACAGCAGCAGCTTTTCCTTCGCGGTCATGTCCTCCGACTGCCCGCTCACCTGAATGTCTGAGATCTGCCACACACAGCAGACAAGAGGCAGGAGTTCAGTCCTGGCCATCTGGCCCGCCTCACCACCCACACCACCAGATGCTTTGACTGCCCGCATGGAAGCAGAGCAGCTCAGCATGCAACTGCAATACCCCGCGCTCCCAGGCTACCTGGGGCACATTGGGGTTCCTGGGATTAAAGCCTACCACATTTATCTCAAGACCAGGCCACTCCAACAGGCAGCTTCCACAGAAGACAATGGAGTAATGTCTACTGTCAAATGATTTGCGCTTTGGGGCTCCCCTTAGCTGGGGGAGGCTGGAGTATACCCTGAACCCCCAGAGGCTAGCAGGCAACACAGATGAAGGGTAATGGACACAAGAAGGGCAACCCTCAAAGTTGGTCCAGCTGTTGAGGGTGAAGGGGCAGGTCAAGGCACCTCTCTAGTTGCAGGCCCAGGTGGAGGGAGAAGTGTCTGGAAACTAGATATGATGTGTGGGGCTGGCATCCTGACCCTAAGTCCAATGGCGGGTCAGGGTCTAGCGGCCTGCCTGTTGTCAGTATGCATGCCAGCCTGTCCCTAGCTGTCTGTTTGCTGCCCAACCCATGTGACTCAGCTGCCATGCCAGCCTAGCTTTTAGGACCGAGATCTTAGATTTGTGGCTTCCTGTGAGGCCAGCACAGGCAATAGATGAGTCACTCAGGGTATCCCTGCAGCTCCAGAAACTTCTCTAAGCAGCCAGCAGAAAATGCATTCCTCTACAAGGAGGTTCTACCAGCCCTATCTAGCCAGGGCCCGAGGGCACAGAATAGGCAGATCTTGGCGAGAGAGGATTACACCCTGGAGCCACAGAGCTAGCAAGCATATGTTCAGACTGGCAGGAAGGCTCAAAGGCACCACCTCCTGGGCCACACCTTAGCCAGAAATAGGGCCAGCCAACTAGCCATATTCCTAGGGGAAGGTGGATGGTAGGCAGATAGCCACTTACCTGGAAGTGCAGGATGATGGTCCAGATCAGGCCCAGGGTCAGCTTGGGGTTGCCGTCAGCAATGTCATCATTTCTGATGTTCACTAACTTCACCTGAGAACAAATGGTTCAGTCACAACCCACAGCAGAGCAAGGTGGCTGGGTTTGGGGTTTATGATCTAGAGCCTGGGGCCAGGTAGAAAGAAGGCTTACTTACCTGGCGATGTCGGAGATAGTCCAGGGCAATCTGAACATTCTGCAGCTTGTGGAAGCGCATCCTCCCCTTCTCTCGGGGCTGAGAGGAGGCAAGACACAGTTACAGTCCACAGGGCAACAGTCACGTCAAGGCCCCCCACCCTTCAGCCACCCCCAAAGCAGCAGCAGCCCCTCCATCATCCCAGGTTCACCCTCCTCAGCTGGACGACCATCAGTCCAGGGGCAGGCTCGGAAAGCCAGCAACCCCAGCTGTGGGAAGGAAGGAAGGGAGTGGGGAGGAGACAATAGCCAGGAAGCCACAGGCAGAGGGCAGTGGCATTGAAGGGGGGGTCCTCAGTGGTGCCCACTGCAGCTTCTGGTGAGTCTCTGGCCCAGCCCCGGGCAGGCAGCAGGGAGGGCAGCAGGCAGCTTGACACACAGCCATCAGCCCGCCCAGGAGCCAGATGTGGGCCAGGCTGGAGTGGCCGCCATCCCCAGGTGAGTTGGGTGGGCTCCACGGTCTTGGGAAGCCCAGGTGCCGCCATGCCAGCAGGCACAACCACTCACCAGGCGCAAACTCCTGATTACGTCCCGCTCCCTCGGCTGCCCAGCCAGAGCAGGGCAAAGGGTAAAGGGCAGAGGTCAAGATTCAGAGTCCAAGCAGCAGAGAAACCAAAGCAGAGCAGAGCATGAGGTTACTGTGTTAGAGCTCAAAGGCAGAGAACAGCGGGGGGCCATGGCCATTCACTGGCCTGGCCTTTGGTTGTAATGCCAACACCCTGGCCAGGGGAAGCCGTTGGGGCTGGAGAAGGTGAGAGACCAAGCTAGACACTGAGTGGGCAGTAGGAAAAGGCCCCAAGGAAGGCAGGCAGGCAGGGACACACATACCAGGCTGTCCCCTGAGAGGACTTCCAGCAGGGAGATAAGGTTGTGGCCATCGCGGAGGTCTTCATACAGGTCACTGATGTGCCTCTGAGCCTGTGGAAACAGCAGGGACCAAGATGGCCACAGATGAGAATCCCCATAGGCACTCGGGCACTGGGCACTGCACTGGGTGTAAAGAAGCAGGGGCGTGGAGCACACCCCTGCCCCATGCAGGCACCTACCTCTGCCCTCCAGTGCTACAGCAGAGACCATGAGAGACCAGAAAGAAGAGGAAGAAAGAGACAGGAGTGAGTGTGGGAGGAAAGGACAGAAAATAACAGGTTTCAGAGATGAAAGGGGAGCTTAGGAAGTGTGAGAACGTCCTGGGGGGATGTGGGCTGGGGAACCCTCCCAACTCACAAGCAGACACCACTAACCTTGATAAGGTGTTTGTTGACCCACTTGGTGAAGGTTTTCTTCTGCACGCGGTCCCGTTCATCTGGAGGAGACAAAACCCGTTTACCTTGAGCCTGGGAGAAGCCTAGAAAGGCCCCCAGAGGTGAGCATCACGCAGACACAGAGGCCTGCTAGGCCAAATCTTGTCTGACGAGGTTCCACCAGGACAACCCCACACCTTTCCCAAATCAGAAAGGCTCAGGTCCCCCAAGAAACCTCCCCATACAGACACCAGAGATCAAGGCAGCCAGGTCTACCCTGCCCTAGTCCACAAAAGGGACCGGTCCTAGCAGGGTGGTGCTGTTCAAAACTTCCTTTGTTTCTGAAAGAGAGGAGGTCTACAGCCTCTGTGCCCAGAGCCCACAGCATACAAGTCCCAGCCTGCCCCACCCCACATGCCGCCTCCCAGGCTGAGCAAGAGCAAGAGCATGGGACCAGCATGGCTTTTGGAGGGAAAGTCAAGTGTCCCTGACAGGAAAGCAAGCCTTCCCAGAGACATAGAGAGCCCTAGACACCCTGGTCCCTGGCTTAAAGCTCAAGGACCAATCACTGATGGGCATGGATCACTGGCCCCCATCTTGGAGCCTGTGCCCGAAATCCATACCCTTATAACAAGGCCCTACCACCCCCAATCTGTGCCAAGGCTTCCTGATACAGGAAGGACCCTTCCTGTCACCAAGGCCCTGCCCAGAAGGAATGCCAGCTACCTTTCTTGCCCTCGGAGGCCCTGAGTACAGCCAGGTAGAGGTTGTCCTCTGAGCTGGTTCTCTTGCTACCCAGGCCCTCGAGCTCAGGCACACGGAGCCGGTGCTGAGACATGGTGCTGCCCCCGCCCCTTCGTCACCCTGCACTCTGTCTAGGCAGCCTCGTGTGGCACACAGGCTGCTGAAGGTTGCCGCGAGCTGCTCTGGACACTAACTCAATGGAGGCTCAGCTCAGACTGGAGTCCTGGCGGCCACTCCCTTGCCTGCTGTACTCCCAGCAAGGCCGTCCCACCCCAGGAGCCTAACCCCGCCTTGCCCGCCCCCCAGAGGGGAGTGTCCCTGCGGGAAAGGAGGAAGGCAGCCCCTCCCCCATGGCCACACCCTCAGCCCACCAGAAACAGGAAACCCGGGTTTCCTCACCCACCCTACCCACAGCAGTAGAACCTGGGTACAGAGATGGGGGAGGGAGGGCTGGCCCCAGGATCACAAAGGAGCACATACTATCCCCATGGCCATCCAGAAGGATCTTGTATTACACACGGTGAGCAGAGGCTCCCTGCCATTCATGGGTGTTATTGTGTAGATATAACAGGTTATTTCCCTGTAGAATGACTGCAGAAGAAACTCCTAGGGTGGGAACCAGCTGCCTGTCTACTTCTGGAAATTCCCCTAAAGCATACCTCCTCAAGCCTGCACTGGGCATGGACTATGCCCTATCCAAGTAGCCCCCACAACTGCTAGGTTTCCAGACCCTACGGAAGGACTTCCTGGCTTTGGCAGCGTCTCCCACGGGATCCCAGAAGTCCAGCCCAAGCCAGCCCAGCCAGGCAAAGCACACCTCAGGCAAGAACCGCTCATAGCTCAGCGGTGACTCATCCCAGCAGGGCAGACCAGCCCAAGCTGCAGGGACACCTCCCCAGTTAGGGTGGGAGAAAGGGCTTCTGGGGCAGCAGGCAGCACACCAAGGGGGTACAGCCAGTGAGTCAGACCTGGGGAGGGGGCCTGGGTGCTGTGACTCACTAGAAAAGAAGCTGTACCTTGGGGCAGGATGGGGCTCTTTGCAGCAGGGTAGGGCAGGCAGATAACAGCTGTTACGTGCTGTAAAGGTGGAGGACCCGGGCAAAGGGCACAGGGGCACCTGTGACTAGACCTGTCTATTGTAGCCTCTGGCTCCCTTGGGTCAGGAGATGGAGCCACCTACGGCTAGCAACTGGAACTGCCCAACCTACCCGACCCACTCTAGGAAAAAATGTACCACCCAAACCACAAGAATTTTCCAGTCCAGGCATCAGCCTTGATGTGATCCAGCTGTGAGTTGCTAAGGACCAGCCCCCTTCCCAGTGTCGAAGGCCTCACCATTCCAGGAAAAGTTTGCCCTATGCTGCCCTTGCTGCTGCCCTTATGGCCACAAGAGGGCATCAAAACTCTGTAGGGCGGAGTAGGAGCCAGTGCCTGAGTTAGGCCTGCGATTAACCCAGCGCACGAGGCTCTGCCGAGTGTCAAACACTACCCCTCCTATGAGGGTTCTCTTCGGCCTCCAATACAAGACCATCTACCTCTTTCTCCTCTAGCCTGACAACCACCACAACCCACCAGAGATGACTCCTCCCACTCCAGAGTTCTTCTGAACCTCAAATCTGACTCTACACTGGTCAGTGCTCTGGAAGCTTCTCAGAGACCAGGCCAGCAACCTCCCAGTCAGAAAGCTAACCCTTCAGAGAAGTGGAGGTGTGTTGGAGCTGGAGAGATGGCTCCGTGGCTAAGAGTACTGGCTGCGCTTCCAGTCCTGAGTTCAATTCCCAGCTACCACATGGTGGCTCACAGCCATCTCTAACAGGGTCTGGTGCCCTCTTCTCTCTGATGGTCATGTATATATAAAAAACTGGATCGGTGTCTGCGCTGCAGATGTGCTGCAGAAGTGAACCGTCGCTCTGCTGAGAGCTCAGGCTCCTGGAAAGGGGACAGCAGTCGAGTGCAGGAACCCAAGAAACCACTAGGACATGGAGGTGGGATAGGGAGGGGAGGGGGAGACAGGATCTGACATCTAAGATATACACTGACCCTAACCCAACCTCCAGCCAAACTGCTTTTCCAGCGTCTTTGTCTTTGCCACTACGATGTTCCAAGGATGCTGCCTGGAAAGTGGATTCCGCTCCAGGTAGCAGTTTCCACCTCGCCTAGTGACCTCTGAGCACCCTTTCCCTGAACAGCAGTCTATTTCTAGGGGCCTCCTTCCTTAAAGGTCTTTCGGGGCCTCAGAGCTTACGCTTGCCCTCACCTCTCCAGCTCTGCCCTGCCCCTTGCCGGAGATGTCCCCTTCCCTGCTCATCCTACGCAGACTCTCAAACTCACAGGTTCCCAAGCTGCCCAGCTCCCACCTGACCAGAACCCAGCCATGCCCTCAAATGCTACTGCACACCTCATGGGGCTCTCCCCATGAGCTATCCAATCAGCCCCAGGGACACTCCTCACCCCAATACCGTATTGCACATGTGTAAAACGCAGCTGACCCTCAGCAGCAAGTCAGTCTCCCTAGGAAGGGAGGTAAGTATGCTCCTACAAAGAATGTCTTTTCCTGCTTCCAGCGAAGTGGTAACAAAATAGCTAAAGAATCCCTCCCCACCTAAGACGATGCACGTGCACACTGCAAGAGAACCTCGAAGGCCATCGACAGCACAAGTGGGACGGCCCAGAGCCCCACCCTCAACGCCAGCTCCGCTCCGGGGATCTTCCCAACAGCTAAAGCACCGGACCCGGAAAACCCTCTGACCCCGCCCACTTACCGTCCCCCTCCTCCAGAGGAAAACCTATCCCTGAGCGAGACAACCCTGCCTTCCTCCCCAGGTGTTTCCGGACCTTGGAGGCGGGGCTGTACCTGGGCCAAGTACCACCCCCATCACAAACTCAGGACCTGCCCACCAACCTGAGCGGCCGCACCCACCTATGCAACACAGTTGCCCGTAGAGGTACCCCCGGCGGACCTGCTCGCAGCCTCCGTCCAGCCAGCAGGGAGGCTCCAGCAGGACCTCCCTCTGCGAAGTGAAGACGCCCTTCGCCGCCCACGCCCACGTCCCTGCCATGGCCAGGAACCCCGGGTGCCCCGGATTGCTCAAAGAGACACGAGAGCCGTGCTCCCTGCTTGTGTTCAAGGCTGAAGGCCCTGGCTTGGCTTTCCACGTTCGCCCCCGCCCACCGGACGCAATGCCCAGACCCGGAGAACCTGCCCCTGCTGCAAGCGCCCCGCCCCGCCCAGTGTGGGCCAGGAAGCCGCGCCCCAACCCATAGGGAGCAAACTGTCTCGCCGGAACTCGAGGGAACAGGGGTGAAGGTACCCTCTAGGTCAAAAGAGTCTGGGAACTCTCCTCCCCCGCCCATGGTAACTCTCAGACGCCTGGCCACTGTGGGAGTGTCACTCCTAGCAGGGTGTGCAAGTGTCACCCGCTCCAAGAGGCCGGATCAGCTGAGGCGACGGGCAGAGTACAGAACTTCGGGCGACCACGCCCACACCTTGCACTACAAAGCATCAAGTGAACCAAGGGGGGGACACAGGGAACCCCTTCCCTCCAGTGGTGACAAGAAACAAAACTGAGTTAGCTCAGGGAGGAGGGCCCAGCGTCCTCAGAGGGGAAGAAGCTCTTGGACCTGAGCCTGTGCATTCGGTCGGATGCCACTGTTTACAGCTGACTCACCGGCTTCTGGGAACCCTAGAGCCACGTCTGGAAAACCCGTTCTAAGACCCACTCCGGGCAATCTTCCACTGGACGCTAAGACCTAGCAGGCCCGCTAGGGGGCAAGAGACCATAAACGCAATCCCATCAGGCCTGGCCTGAGGTGCATCTCAAGAGGGCAGTCCCTCTCTGGCCTGAAGCCCTGGTGCAGAACTGCCAATCCCCAGGGACTGTCCCAGGCTCCATTCACTTCAGCCCCACCCCGTTCTGCGGTGAGCATGGCCACCTCGGACCATAGCCCAAGAGCTGGTGACTTTGAAGAGAGGGCAGAACAGAGCCTAACTGCTTGCCCCACAACTGGTCCAGGGTCCTATGCCATGTTGGAGGACACTCAGACAAACTGCCTTTGTGTAATTCAGCCTACACTCTGTGGGCAGGAAGGCCACTAAGCAGGCATTGTGTCCTGCCCAGATCAGCCTGTGAACCTGTCACTCTGGTTTCTCACTGCTGTGGCAAAGGAGAGTGGCCTTTCTTTAAAAGGCAGGCATTCCCACAGGCTTGTGCCTTCAACCAGAGCTCACCGCCCCCCCCCCCCGCCTCTTTCCATTCACCTACCCAGGACCTGCTGCAGGTTAGACAGCCTCAAAACTCTCCCCCTCCCCAGCACACCC